ATTGATATTTCTATCTCTCCCTCTCCCTTCCTATCTAAAATCAATAAAATATATTTTTTTAAAAAAGAGTGGAAGGGATGGGGAGAGACAGCGAGAGAGAAACATCCATGTTAGAGAGGCACCGCGATTGGCTGTCTCCCCCAGTTACTGTGACCTGGGCAGGGATTGAGCCCACAACCCAGGTGTGTGCCCTTGACCAGAATCAAACCTGGAACCCTTCAGTCCGAGGCCCGGGGCTTTATCCACCGAGCCAAACTGGCTAGGGCTGGGCCTTTCTCTTTATCACAAAGGTAATGTAGGACCACTCTGGCCGGTGTGGCTCCACTGGTAGAGTGTTCTTCTGTGCATCGAAAGGTCAAAGGTTCAATTCCCAGGGGGGGCCCATGCCCAGGTTGTGGGTTTGGTCTCTGCAGTTAGGATGCATGCTGGAGCCAACCGATCAATGTTTCTCTCTCTTTCCTTCTCCCTTCCTCTCTCTCTAAAAAAGCAATAAGCACACATTTTAAAAAATACATAGGACCATTGTGGAAACTTTAGACAGTTATGAACAAAAATAATACCGCACACTGGCGGGTGTGGCTCAGTTGTGAAACATCAGCCCACGCACCAAAGGGTCCCAGGTTTTATTCCTGGTCAAGGACACGTGCCTGGGTTCTAGGTTTGATCCCCTGGGCCCAGTCAGGGTGTGTATGGGAGACAACCAATTGATGTGTCTCTCTCACATCAATGTTTCTCTCATAGGAGGGGAAGGGGAAGGGGAAGGGGAAGGGGAAATCAATGGTAAAATATCCCGGGACTCCAGGGGACAAACCCTTCCCTTTCCAGCTTCTAGAGCCGCCTGCATTCCTTGACTGCAGCCCACAAGGCATAACCTTGCTCCTCTGACTTTCTCACTCTCTTTATGAGGGAGAAGAGACTGCCTCCCTCTTTCCTGTAGGAGGACCTTGTGACGTCACTGGGCCCATCCATCATTCAGGACAACCTCCCATCTCAAGGTCCTTACCGTCATCACAGCTGCAAAGTCTCTTTCCCACGTGAGAGACCAATTCATAGGTCCCTGGCATGAGAACCCGGATATCTTTGGGGACCCATTATTCTCTCTGCCACCCCCACCCGGGGCCCCTGTTCCACCGCAGAGAACCACGGCACTGCTTTACGGTGAGTTCATGCACCGACAACAAATGTCTGTTATGCCGCCCATACCAGGTGTCCTCTCACGCTCTGCTCTGCACCTTGCTCTATCACTGAGGGTTTCTGGAAATTCCAAGAGCGCCTCTTTAGCCTTTTACAGCCACATGGAACTCCACAGGGGGACGTCCAGGCCTCTGGGGACGGGCATTCACATTGTCCCTGCCCTTTTGTTACCATAGAGACGGTCAGTCTGGGCACAGGCTGCCTGGCCACTTGGGAGGGGCAGGCCATGCCAGGGCTGCGCAGAGGAGGCCAGGGCCCAGAGATCCAGGGGCGTCCTGCGGACTCCAACTGAGAAGCCGACTGAAGGCAGTGGCATCTCCAGGCTTCCTGGTAGCAGATGGGAGGGAGAGGGTCTGGTGCAGATCATAGAGAAGCTGAAACACCCTGCCGCCCGCCCCCTGCCCCTCACTGCACTGTGTGGAGTAAGGGGGGCAGGGTTCAAGCCCATATGATCCTGCTTCTAGCTGCTGGGAGGTCCCAGAAGCCTCTGTGCTGAGAATTGCCCTGGGTGAGGATGCCTGTGCTACTGAAATCTAACCTCTTAAAAAACAATGAAGTAGCCGAAACCGGTTTGGCTCAGTGGATAGAGCGTCAGCCTGCGGACTGAAAGGTCCCAGGTTCGATTCTGGTCAAGGGCATGTACCTTGGTTGCGGGCACATCCCCAGTAGGAGATGTGCAGGAGGCAGCTGATCGATGTCTCTCTCTCATCGATGTTTCTAACTCTCTATCTCTCTCCCTTCCTCTCTGTAAAAAATCAATAAAATATATTAAAAAAAAAAAAAAACAATGAAGTAACCCAAGAATACCACTCCTCGGATTGGGAACAGGTCCCCAAACAAAAACTTGTTCACAAATGCTCATAGCAGCACTATTCACAGTCGCCACATGTCCATCCGTGGATCAATGGACACACAAAATGTGGTACAGCCACACAGCAATATGATGCAGCCACAAAAGCAAAGCACCGATTCATGCTACAACATGGAGGAACCTGAGAACATAATGTGCGTGAAAGTAGCCAGACCCCACGGCCTCTTGTTGTAGGATTCCATTCATAGGAAATGTCCAGCATTGGCAAATCCACAGACAGAAAAGAGATTAGTGGTTGCCAGGGCCTGGGGAAGGGCGAACGGGGAGTGACTGCTTAATGGGTCCAAGGTTTGCCTTGGGTGAGATAGAAACGTTCTGGAAATAGACAGTGGCGATGGTTGCACAACATTGTGAATATGCTAAATGCCACTGAATTGCGCACCTAAAGTGGTTAAAATGGTAAGTTTCCTGTGTGTTTCGCCACAATAATAATAATAATAAAAAACTTAAAATTCTCATAGAAAATGTTTTGCATTTCCCCACTCTTCCTGGCAGAATTTTCAGGAACCAACTGAATTCATGAAGGGAAAGATGGGTGCATTGTTAAAGAAAAAAATATTCTAACTGTTAAAAACTACAGTGGGGACTTGACTTACGAGTGTCCCGACTGACGAGTTTTTCGAGATACCAGCTGTCTCTCCACCGACTTTTTGCTTTGAGTGGCGAGCTAAAATTCGGGTTACGAGCCAGCTTCAGATCCCCCACCGCTAGTTGGTGCAGCGAATGTCGCAGTGAACACCACAACATCAGCCCAGCATCACGTGTCTCACTCGCTCACTTTTGATTTGACATACAAGTAATTTGAGTTACGAGCTCCGTCACGGAATGAATTAAACTCGTAAGTCAGGGCCCCACTGTAGTACAATGACACTTGCTAATGCATGGTAAGGGGAGGGGGCCATGGTAGGCATGGGCACCACTGCCATGGGGTTTTGCTGTAGAGAGAGATTGGGCTCAACTCCAAATACGGCATGAGCAAATGGGAATCTGTAGCCTAGGAGCAGGTGGGGCAGTGGATAGAAAATTACTGAGAGGGAACATCATGCGTAAGAGAGGATTCTGGGTAAACGGGCCTAGCAGGCCAGAGTGATCAGACTTTACCCCGGGGATGGTGGAAGATGAGTGCTGGAGGCTAAGACCAACAAGTAGTTAGCATAATTATGTGAGATGTCCGCTGGAAAGCTAATGGACTTTGAAAATCAGCATAATATTGCCCTGTTTTTGGCTGAATGGCTGAAGGCAATCCCCTAACCTGATAATCCTTAATTGTTTACCAGACTTTACCATGGATATGCCTGTTTGCTTTGTTAAACGGCAAATGTGTATTCTAGTAAATAAAAGCTAATGGGTCCGGGCATTCAGAGAGCCCTCCGATAGAGAGTAAGGTCTCCGCCTGGCTCCCCTTGCCTTCTAAATTTATATTTCTTGTCTAGTGTATCCGTTTGTGCGGAGCCCCTTCTCCAGACCTTGAACCCTAGCCCCAGATGGATGCGGTGTTCACAGATGGGGTACTTGATCAGGTGTCAAGGGTGGGAAGTTCTCATTAACCTGACTTAGGAGGGTTCTTGCTGAAATTTGGACAATGCAGAGATGAACACAGAAGTCCAAAAGTCAGAACCTAGTTAGAAAAAAGTTCAGGGGATCCTGAGTTGAGTTCATCCAATGAGAAAATCCTTGTCAGTATATAAAAA